TTTTTAGAACATTCACTGGAACTTTCCTGTGCCATGACCAGATGGAAGAGATAGCATCAATTTTTTGTAAATTGTGAATTTCTGTGATAATCATAATGGCAATGGATAGTGTACAGACTGTTCTCCTGAATAAAATGTATCTTAAGGCTTTAATTAAGAGTCAGAGAAAAAGCACTCATAAACAATGCACCTCTTTTTAATAGCAAATGTCCTAATAATAAGCAAAGCCTTACAGACTTGGTTTATATAGTCTATCTACTTAAGAACATTAATTTCTAGACTGCTGGGTATATTGCTTTTGAAGCTAGCTGATGAACTGTAAGACTGATTTTGTTAATCAGTGTAACACAATCACCTGTTTTTGAAACTGGTAAATAAAACCTGTAGATGTTCTGTAATTGCATTTGGCATAATTTGGCAGTCAATTATCAAGGGCAATCTGAGTTGAGTATGTAAGTAAAATAGATTATATAGGAAGTAGTGCTGTGGCTCAACGTGGTAGAGCATTAGCTTTGAGCAAAAGAGCTTATGGACATTGCCCAGGCCTTGATTTCTAGCCCCAGGACCACCACCACCACTACCACCACCACCACAACCACCAAAGATATAGCAAATGAGAATAAAATAGGATTCCTTAGCTAGGAATGAGTGATCATGCCAAAAGTGATGACTGCAGTCTAAGCTGCATAGCATCAAGGTTGAAATCAAAATAAGTTTTTAATTATAAACAAAATCCAAGTCAGTTCTTACAAAATCTTGCTGTACAGGGAAGCCACCATATTTCTATCTGTATTTTCAGATAGAAAATTCACTGACTGACTTTTTCAAAAGAGCTTAAGGAATACAAGCTTTTGTCAGAGAACACATTTTGATGAAAGATGGGCCACATATACGATGTTCCCATAATATGGTGCTGGCGCTGAGTAACTCTGACCTGGTGATGGCCAGCCGTTGCCATGCCATAGTGCAATCCATTACTCATTTGTTTTCAGTGCCGTGGGTAAAAAGACCTTTGTGGTGTTAGGAATATCCCAGTACTTGGAAGGCAGAGGCAGGAAGACCACAAATTTTAGTCCAGCCATATATAGCAAGACCTTGTCCAAGTATTAAAAAATAGCTATAGCACACATAATTATGTTCAGTTTATAAAGCTTGATAATTATAAAAAATGACTGTCATGTGTTTATGTATTTATTATGCTATTCTTTTGATAACTATTTTAGAATCTATTCCTAGTTATAAGACATTTTTCTGCAAAACATCCCATTACAATGTTACAACTGCAGCAGCCTCATATTCTTGTGTTTGCTGCATTTCTTGATGCAATCAAGCCGAGCACTGGTTGGTCATACCAGTAGTCCGAGCTATTCAGGAGACTGAGAGCTGAGAATCCTGGCTCAGAGCCCGTAAGGGTAAAAAGATCCTTGAAATGTTATCTCCAATTAACCAGCAAAAAGCTGACACTGGAGCCATAGCTCAAGTTTTGGAACACCAGTGAAAAAGCTGAGGGGGAGTGCAAGGCCCTGAGTTCAAGCCCCAGTACTTGAACACACATACACACACACACACACACACACACACACACACACACACACCACAAAGTGACCCTATACCATCTAGCTTTGTATATATACACTATGGTGTTCACACAATAACATCACCTAGCAATGCACTTTGTAACTCATGTCCATTGTTAGCTCATATATGAATGTATTTAAAAGAATTTATTCATTGTTCCTGACCATGAAGCAAGTTCCAGGTAATGAAGAGTCAGGACTGGTTGGAAACAAGATGAGCAGGTGTCTGCTCCTGGCCTGAGGAATGCCAGTAGAAGAGGGTTTTTTTTTCTTTTTTATTGTGCATTGGCCCTCCATCCATGAAAGGAATGTATGCCATTGTGTCTTAAGGTATAATATTAGCCCTATACAATCATGATTTGGCTGCATTTTCAGCCCTATGTTTATCATATGAGCATAGGGAAGTAGAACTTAGATGAATTCTAATGACATTTGTTCAATCACCTTCAGTTATAAGTGATCCTGTGAAATGTGACTCTGTTAACCATCTACCCTGAATGCGAAAATGCAATGAGGCAGGACCAGGCAAGAGGCATAATCATCCAAGGGTATCCCAAGAGTGCGACCCACGTACTATTATGTGGGTATGTATGTTTTCAAGGTATTGTTTACTAAAGAAAGGCTGTACTAGATGTACCCAATGTGATTTCTGTGACTTCTTTGAGGAGGAAGAGAGTCAGTAGCAGCATTGATCCCCAAAGGGAACTGGACTAGTGTCAGGTAGGTCAGCCCGAAACCTTAAATGCTCTGACCCACAGGAGTTGCACCCGATTACAGCCACTGCAAATGCTTAGAAGATGTAGCTCATTCTGTCTCCTGCATTTGCAAAAAGGGGTTAGAGATATCACAAAGACTCCGGAATCACAAGCTCATAGTGGAAGCAATGAATCCTACTCATTCCACTTCCCCACATGCCCCGCCCCCGCCCCAGTGCTAGGTAATCAAACACCTAAGAACAGGAAACAGGTTTGGTTTTTAACTTCATGGGAAATTAATCCCCACCCTCCGAAAACATCCTAAAGAATAACGTCTTCCAAAAAGTAAATAATTCTGCTAGAAGCACAATGCGAATATTTGTGTTAAACACCTGTATTTATAACTTCAAGATTTTTTTGAAAGTGGGGAAAGAGGGACAATCCAGGCCAGAATTCATTGTATGTACTACCAAATTGAGGACTATAAGGGAAAAGGCGAGTCAAAGGGAGGATGAGGACATTGAAGTGCTGCTGCGGATGTAGATGTGCTGCACACATACACTACTTTGTTAAATGGCCAAAATTCAATACATAACCAAAAAAATTAAGAAAAATGAGGGAAAGAGTGGGTTGGGAGGGGTGAGCATGTTGAACGGGGTGACATTGCCAAGATCACTGTATCCATACACTGCTTTGGTGAATGGCAGCTCCTCTGTACAAAGACTTAAAGATAATTTTTTTTAATGGTAACTGAAAGTCATGCTTTCATTGGCATACATTTATCTTCAATGTTTTGTCCGTCCCTGCTGAGATGCTCCCAAGCAGAGCTGATCACAAGAGGCCAGGTGAAACTTAAGTGTGACATCAAAAACTCCCAGTAGTTAGGCAGCCCAACCTTGTTGCTTTGTAGATTGCAGAGATAGGACATTCGAAGAGAAGCTGCTTCCAAGCTCAAGTTCAGGCCCAGAATATTGACTTTTGCCAGTGTTTTCCAGCAACCCTGGACTGTAGCCTCTGGGCTTCATGCTGGGAGGCTTTTTCATGAGGACTGGGAGACCATCATTTTGCCAGTTCCCCCCCCCCCCTCGCCTAGAGGGGGCCAACATTAGTCCCGGGCCAGGCTCCACTCACCAGTCCTGCTAGAGTATACACATGCTCATGACGCATACACCTGAGGACTAATCCCTGTTCACCTTTCTGGGAAGGCCGTACTCTCCAAGCCCATTCATTGGCAGCACCCACAGTATTGGAATCCCATCCCCAGCCTTCCTTTGAAAAAACAAAAGCTATGGGGCCCCCTGTGAAGTGAGGAGAGGCAAGAGATTTAAGGAAAACTCCAGAAAACCCATCCTGGGCTGCCCATCTGACACCAGTGGGTGGGGTGCAATCTGACACTGCCTTTCCTTTCCAGAAACGTGAGTAAAGCCAGCCAGTCCTTGCGTTTGGGGGGAGGGAGGTGGAGAGGGCTGACAGGGCTGGGGTAGGGGAGAGATCTCCCCTTCCCACCTCTGATCCTGACAACTTTCTCCCCTGAGACCTGGTGTACCAGACACACACACACACACACACACACACACACACACACACACACACACACACACACACACACACACACACACACACACACACACACACACACACACACACACACACACACACACACACACACACACACACACACACACACACACACACACACCCCTCTCTCTCTCCGGGAAAACTTTCTCCTGCTCTTGGCTCATGACCCTGGCCTTCCTTCTTGCTCCACCAGCCAACCTCCTTTCCATTCCACTGCCTCCACCTCAGGAGCAAGGGGACATCTCCACGCTTGCGTGGCACCCAAGCCTGGCGCTGTACATCAGGTGTCATTCCACGGGGGACACCCGCATCAGCCTCTCAGGCTGTCTCCCGAGCTGCCTCCTTTAGGAAGAGTGGGTGCAGCCAGGCATTCTCTGTCCCTCCGGAGTCCACTCAGCCCCTGCCAGGCCCTGGGGCAGCGCCTTGAGTGTGCTCTCCACCGCCACCCCGAGAGCCCTTCGGAACCTTTGAGCTTGGAGAGATCCTAAAGCCTCACCAGTTCCAAGAGTGGGTGCATCAGCGCCCCCTCCCCCCGCCCCCCACATACACACACTCCGCACCCACCCCCCGAGAGCCCCAAAGCGCAGCCGCAGGCCTCCAGGCACGATGAGCATGCACGAGGGCACATCTGGGGTGCTTAGCTCTAGTGCCCCCAAGAAAGTTGTCAGGGCATAGGGGGAGCGGGGTGGACGCGCCCTCCTTCCCCAGCCCTCTGGACGGTCCCGGGGCCGCCCGCGAGGAGGAGCTGGTCCCCAGCGGAGCGCCGAGCTCCGGACCACGGCGGCTCCCGCCGGGCTGGGAAGGGGGAGTGGCGCTGGCCGTAGGCAGCTGGGAACCCGAGGAACAGGAACGCCTGACCTTCCTCCTCCTCCTCCTCCTTAGTCTTCTCACTCTTAAGACACCCAGGAAGGGTTCGTGCGGCTGCAGGAAGGTCCCGGACCTCCTTTTGCCCCCCGTGGCTGGTGATGGATCTCCAGCTTCTGCCCCCGTAGCGGCACTTGGAGCGCTGCTGGCGTGTGAACCGAGTCCCGCCTGGCAGCGCCCCCCTCCCCCGCCCCCGCCCTGCGCGGGCTTCCCCTCCCAGCCCCACGCCTCCGGACATCCAGAAGGGAGCGGGGTGAAGGTGGCCTTCGGGCAGAGCCCCGCAGCGATGTCGGCGCAGAGCCTGCTCCACAGTGTCTTCTCCTGCTCCTCGCCCGCCTCCGGTGGCACGGCCTCCGCCAAGGGATCCTCCAAGAGGAAGCTGCGCCAGACTCGCAGCCTGGACCCAGCCCTGATCAGCGGCGGTGGGAGCGAGACGGCCACCGAGGGCAGCCTACGAGGGGCGGCCTCGAGCCGCCTCTGTTCCCCCCAGCTCCTAGCCGAGAGCCTCGGTTCCCGCTCGGCGTCTTCTCCCAGGAGTCTATCTTCCCGGACCACCCGGCTCCCACCTCGACCCCTTTGCTCGTCCTTCTCCACTCCGAGCACCCCGCAAGAGAAGTCACCATCTGGTAGCTTCCACTTTGACTATGAAATCGCCATGGGTCGTGGAGGGCTCAAGAAGAGCATGGCTTGGGACCTGCCCTCGGTCCTGGCAGGGCCGGCTGGCGGCCGCAGCGCTGGGAGCATCCTCTGGTCCTCTGCAGGAGGCCCCAACGGGCTTTTCACTTCTCCCCGGAGGTGGCTTCAGCAGAGGAAGTTCCAGCCTCCACCCAGCCGTCGTGGCCACCCCTATGTCGTGTGCAAATCTGAGGTAGGGACCTGTGCGCGGTGCTGTGGCCCAAAGCCGGATGCCCCAGTGTAACTTTCTACTTAGACTGCACAAATGGTGCCTGTAAATGGGGTGACCCTAGTGGCCACTCTGGGTGCTCTCTAGGGCACTACAACTAGAGGTGGAGAGTGTTCTTATTTCTTGGTGAAAAAAATTTACATATATAAATGTCTGTCTGTCTATCTATCATCTATCTACCCACCCACCTACCTACCTACCTAGCTAGCTATGAATGAATGAGTTGTTTCAGAAAAAATTTACGACCATTATTCCAAAAAATGTTTGGGTGTGTGTGGGTGTGCGTTTGGTTGGCAGGATGGAGAAACAAAATGATCTGCTTTTTCTTTTCTTTTCTTTTCTCTTTTCACTTCTTTTCCCCAAAGGTGTAATTTCAGAAATCTATGGTATAGAATACTTTCCATGCTTAAGGGTATGAAGTATCATGAAAATATGCTCGAATTCCACTAAGCACAATTAGTAGCTAGTGAAAGAGACTTGAATCAGGAATCAATAATAAATGGTGGGGGGACTCAGAGAGAGAGCTATTTGATACCCTTAAAATGTTTGCTTTCTGGTTAAGGATGGAGAATAGAGCTATTGGGAAACTGTGGTTGAAGGGTACTTGGAAAGCAGAGTGCTTTTAGAGAATAAATAGTAGTTGGTTTTAAAAATGACCAACTGCTATCCCTTTCAGTCCACAAACTCTATAGATTTGCTTTGGATCTGTTTCCATAAGGGAAGGGAGATCCCAGTAGTTGTAATTAAATATTTTAGAGCGCAGTTAGCATTACAGAAATGAAATGAAATACTATGTAATTCCTGGAGATTTAGGCTAAATAAAGGAAATATAACTAAGCAAACACAGTTTGAAAATAGCATCCAAGAGCCTACTCAGCTCTGTGGACCATGAGGTAATTGTTAGATTTCAGCTTGAGTAGAACACCCTAGAAAAATCAGCATTATCTATCAGAAAGAATAACATCACATATTATCAAGGTTAGTGGCTGTGTCAAATTAACGGAGGGGGCATAGAATAGCAGAACCCAACGATCACTGCTAACTGTGCTGCCCATTCTGTTGGGGGAAGAGGATCATTTGAAAGAAAAAAAAATGAAGCAAACAGCACATGTTTCAGCCAAACCAGAAGACTTGGTGTTAAAAGGATAATCAAAAATTGAGGTGTTAAATTCTTAATCTCTAGTAAAAGCTAGATTCCTAATGTTTCTGAAGCACCCATTATCAGGTTAATGTATATGAGTGAGAGGGAACATGAGAGCAAGAGCAAGGGAGAGAGAGAAAGAGCGAAAGACAGAGAGAAAACTACTTTTTGCATTTCATAGCCAATGATATTCATAGTTAGAACCAGCAGCATCCCTAAGAATGGTTCTGCTTGTTAGAGTATAGTATACAGACACTGTTCATGACAAATATGTCCCAAAGGCATCTGAATGATGATCCCACTCATTGCAATTTAATTTCCTATCGGTTAAAGTCTTATCAAGAATAGACAATTATTGAGCTACTGCAATACTGGGTGTTTCCTGAGTGTTCCATACAACATTTGGACAGATTATGTGGAGATCATCCACCACGAACTTCAACTTTTTTGCAATGATTATGTCTAAATACGGAGTCATCTAGCAAAGGAACAACATTTTCTCATAAAAAAGTTTATGTGTGTATGTGAGGAGAGAGGAGCGGAAATTGCTTTATTCTCAAGGCAGATCTGGAGTGATTGGATGGAATCCTGGCATGTTGGCCCAAAGCTGGTTTTGTTTAGTAGAAGCCAAGATATCCTAACGTAACCTCAGAGTCTGGAATTTAATGGCCTAGATTACCTTTCAAAGGTTTAACACCCTGGAACCTTCTCAAAACCAAGAGAAGGCATCCTATTGGGTACTGCCTGTCCTTCTCACTTGCAATTGGGCTGGATCTTATGTCCAAAATGAGTATTGTTACTAATGATGTCAAAAGTTCATCAAATGAACAGCCTTGTAAAAGTTGCATAGAGGTCCCGGAATGGAGATCTCATTCACACTGATTTGATTCTTCCACTTCTTGTCATGGCTCAGGAGTTCTCAGCCATTGTGTTACTGGCATCTGGGACGGAAGGTTTTTTTGATGTGGGTCTAGCCTGGTGATTGCAGGCTGTTGAACAGCAGACCTGGCCTCTTCCCACTAGATGCCAGCAGCACTCTTCTCTACTAGTGTGACAATGAAAACTGTCTCTAGAGGCTACTGAGTCTCCTCAGGTGGAAAGCACCTGAGTTGAGTACCACTGCAATAATGAAGCAGAAGCCAAAGGCACACCCCACACTGGCCATCTAGCACTTGTCCACAGCAGGGATGTCAGGATGGCTTAAAGTGGCCTTTGGTTCCTACACTCTGGAGATCCTTCTGAAGTGATGCTTTCCGACTCCAAGTATCTGTCCTGGCTTGTTTTCTATTTCTATTCCTCTGAATCTACAGGAAAGCCTGAGAATTGACTTTCCGGTTTAGTCATTGATCAAGCACATCCATTTCCACTCGGTCCTCTCAGCAGATCCTCCGACTTTAAACTGTTCATACAAGACCCTCCCAAGACCCTCATAAATGTCTGCATCTCTATCAGTGCTCATAAATGGCTGTTTTTATGGTCTCAGTCTGAAAGGTGTTAGGCAGAGTTAAATAGGACTCTGTTAATATTTCCTATTTATTTCAAGATTGCTTTAAGAAACATTTGATTCGTGGAGGTATGGGTAGAATTTCTCTTGAGTAGACAAAAGGAAAACAACCAACGGACACATGGCATCTATTGGTAACATAATTGGTAGATTCACAATTTGTGTTCTTCACAGCCAAACTCTCTCTGTCTCTGGTCACACATAATAGAATACAATCTCTCATTTCCATCCTGGGATCATATCAATTCCTGTCCACCAGAGCTTGGATTATGCCCATAGCTGACTTGGGGTTTGCCAGCTTTTGTAATCCAAAATTAAAGCAATTTCTCTATGTCCACATGACTTCTACACTTGTCTTAAGATACGTCACTGAAGCCGAAGCTTCTAGTTTCTGAAGCTTTTCAAGAAAACTTTTGTTTTCTTGAGTAGAAACATTCATTCCTCTAGGTTCAAAGAATGCAGAATATGAGGCCAGTTCCCCGTGCTGTGACAGCCAATAGGAATGGATTAGGAAGATCATCTCCACAAGGAACCAAACTGGGACAAGTGATGATTCACTGTCCTTGGTGAAGGGTGTGTATGTGTCTTAGAAGTCTTTATTGTTTACACAACACTTGAACTCGATCTTTAAAACTGACTGCCATTTTCAAGGAAAGCAAGCTGTCTTTTCTTTCTTTCTTTCTTTCTTTCTTTCTTTCTTTCTTTCTTTCTTTCTTTCTTTCTTTCTTTCTTTCCTTCCTTCCTTCCTTCCTTCCTTCCTTCCTTCCTTCCTTCCTTTCTTTTTTTGCTTTAGGGCCTCAAACATACCAGGCACATGCTCTACCTCTTGAGCTATGCCTTTAGATCTTTGGTTTGTATTTTGTTTTGTTTTTAACCTTTGCAATTCACATGAATTAGTTGTGCAAGAAGGCTACATTTTGATATGCCCACATATGCATACACAATGTGCATGGATCAGGTAAACCCCTTCCATCAGTGTCCTTTCTCTCTAAGTCCCCCTTTCCCCAAACTAACTCAGCAAGATTCATTGTTCTATTTGCATGCATATGCCTAATATATCTGGGCCATATTCATCTTCCTTCGCCATCTCCTTTTGCCCTCTCTCCTTCCAGTCATGTCCATAGTCTATACAGGACCTGTTTTACATTCCCATCATTCATTTTTTTAGTGTATACTAATTGCTCAAAAGGATTTAATCATGGTATTGCACAAATGCACATGCAGGACTTGAGTCAGCTTGAACCCTCCCCCCATTTCCTTTCATTTTCCCTCAATTTTTCAATAGTTTTCAGTGAATTTACTTTTGATGTCTTTATTCACAAGTGCAATGTATTTTTACTATTGTTCACTCTAATAGTATCTTTTCTCCCCTCCTCTAATCATTCCCTCAAACAATCTCACAATTACAAACATGTTCATATGTGGGGTGTGTGTGCGTGTGTGTGTATGTGCATGGTACTGCATACGCTTACATACGTTTAACTTTTAGATTTAGCATTTACATATGAGTTGAAATATTCCACCTTTGTACTTCTGAACCTGGCCTACTTTGCTTAACATTATAATTTCCAATTCCATTCATTTTGCCACAAAAGATGTAATTTCTGTATAACATTCTTTACGACTGAATAGTAATACTCCATTGTGTATCTATACTATGTTTTCTTGATCTATTCATAAGTTTTAGAGTATCTGGTGTGTTTTTATAGTACAGCTACTGTGAATAGTGCTGCAATAAACATGGCTATGCAAGTGGCTCTATTGTATGTTGAAATATATTCCTTCCAATATATAACCAAAAGTGCTGTTACTGGATTGTAGAGTAGATCTATTTTTAGTTTCTTGAGGAGGTTCCATACTGATTTCTATGGTGGTTGCACGAGTTTACACTCCCATCAACAATGTATCGGGGTAGAAAGTTTTTTTTTTTATTGTAAGGGTGATGTACATAGGGGTTACAATTACATAAGTAAGGTAATGAGTACATTTCTTTTCAGTGTTATCCACCCTCGTTTTCTCCTGCTTCTCCCCCTACTCCCTTCCCACATCAAGTTGTGAAGTTCATTTCCAACATAGTGTCTTGTGAGTATCACTGTTACATTAGTTCACCCTTTGTTCCACAGTTTCGATTCCCCCTCCTTTCCCCAAATCCAATAAACATATATAAGACAAAGTGTACCAAAATAAAAAGCAGTGACCACAGGGAATAAACCAAAGGAAAAATATGAAAGAAAAAAAATAACTGCAAACAGTATACTTAAAAAAACCCTCTTGTTTCCATATCTTGGAGTTTATTTTGATTAGCATCATTTTATATGG